GACATATATATATCGATATATAGTCAGGAAGGGGGAATGTAGTTTATGTTCTGTGCAGTGATGTACGGCAGAAGCCTTTATTTATTCAGCAGGAACTGTGTTGGTCCTTGGCATAGTCATTGGATCAGGAGTTGTTAAACATTTTCTTGTAGCACGGACTTGCTCTTGCTCTTGTTCATCTGAAAATATAAAGAAATTGAATATGCAATGTTATCTGAAGTTTGCTTTTGACAGCCAAATCTGAAAATCGCGTAATTTGGAGACTTCTCTGTAGGTTGATTTGTACATGAGGGATATACTGCACAGCATTTAATATCCAACCTCACAAGCAGCATGTGGAGAATCCGCAAGTCCAGGTATGTGATATACATTATTGTGGATATACTCATGTTAAAAATCATGATTACACTAAAAACAATATAATCATTATTATATCGTAAATTATGTGATAAGCATAATATAATTATATAATTAGTACTATTAATCAATAATTTGTGTTGTTTTATTATATTCCTGTGCCAGTCAATGAACCACACTTTATCTAAATTATTAATTACTTATTGTTATCTTACGTGTAATTAGTTACAGTTGAAATGAATCATCTATGTGACCCCCGTGACCTCTGCATGTCGGGGCGCCCTCTGGATGACGTTGTACCGGAGCTTCTGACGCTGTGGCAGACGCTGCTTCGCGTGAGAGACAACATCTAAGACAGCATTCGCAACGACGCCGACATTGTACTGCGCACCTAAGCAAGGTCAGCGCCCCCTGCTGGGAGCAGCGTAGCGCGCGCGGAGGGGTGGGGCGGTGTGGTGTCGCTGGTAACGGCCGTTTATGTGGCGGCTGTTGAATTACAATAAAAAATGTCTCATAGTGATCAGTAAAGGTACAAAAATGTAATCAGTATCAAAAAATACTAATGGACAAGATGTATGAAAAAGACTGAAAACGATGAGAGATGATGATGTAGAATTGATGAGATGAGAGATGTGATAAATGAGAATGTATAAATACTCACTATTGAAAGTCATATAAATATACACCACGGGTATAAATATATACCATTTAGTCTACAGCGAGATAAACAATCTCGTATAAAAGATTTAAACAATCTTAACCTTTCACCCACTTACTTCGCATACACTACACATTGATAGTTTGACCATTACGAGTCAATATAATTATAATTATAAAATTGTTTACTTATAATTATAATAATGGTCATTATAGTGGGGATAGATGGCTGTGTATCACAACTATCGTGTGCTACGTAACACGTGTGTAACGTAACGCGTGTGTAACGTAGCGCGTGTGTAGCATGCCTGTGTGTAACGTAGCGCGTGTGTAGCATGCCTGTGTGTAACGTAGCGCGTGTGTAGCATGCCTGTGTGTAACCCGTGTCTCTACCTTCACCCAGTGCTGCGTGCAGATTTGTGATTCAAACTACGGCAAGGTGGGAGGCAATGCGCCAGCTGCTGCCCGTGTTGCTGAGGGACGGAGTCAGCAACAGCGTTGCCGAGATCAGAAGCTTTAGGTAATGACAAGACGTAACGAGCGAGCACCCATCCTCGTGGCGTTAGCATCCAAATAACACGCGGCGATGTGTCGTCGTTATAAGTACATGGTGATGGGTGTAGTCAGTGATACTTTAACTCGCTTTTATAATACTTGAATCTCAATGGATGTAGAACTACTACTAACGTTGGTAACTTAGTCATCTTAGTAGTAGTAGTAGTTGTGGAATGCTTGGAGACAACGCTGAACACTTGCAGATGACACGGATGAAGTTTCTGCTGTGGATCGGGAAGACTGGCGATGCTGCGGAGATGGAATAGGCAATACAGCATGCGGTCGACCGATGTGGTGCTTCTTACAGTTTCTATCCTCAAGGATTGGACAGCCCAGCTATTTCACTCACACAGTCACTGCCTCGAGTCACCAACAGCGTCAGCAATATTGTTTGTCTTCCTATATTAATATCGCTAGACGGGGGTGCAGATGGAGACATGAGATAGAGAGGGACATGGAAGGAGGGACAAATGTCCAGCAGTTGGTGCGCAGGGTCGGTTGCCTACGTAAATGCCTAATATAGTAGCATTGGGGGAGTGAAATCTATTTAGGATTATTTCTATATTATATGTGTGCGTGCGTGCGGGCGTGCGTGCGTGCGTGCGTACGTGCGTATGTGCGT